AGGATTGCCAGAGCCCAGCAGGTCGAGGCTGCGGTGGCCGGGAGCAGCCACTGCACTCCAGTCTGGGCGACAGAGTGAGACTCCAACTCAAAAAAAAAAGAAAAAAAAAAAAAAGAATAAACACAGTAATTACTTACAGTTCAGAAGTGGTTGCATACAGGAAATGTCGGACAAAAGAAAACAACTTTTCGGTGGCAGCAGGTATTTCTGTCCCATTAAAGTAATCATTTTTGTAAAGCTGGAGTTGTTTTCCACAACCCGTGAAAATAAATCCTGCTCTGCAACAGATGTATCATCCTCCAACAACTGTAATGTTTGAAGTTCCATTTCATTTAGAGAAGGCCAATGCTTTGCCATTTCACATAATTCTGACAAACTGCAGGTATCAAGTGGTAAAGAGATAAGCTTACTACACTTGTCCTGCTTCTCACAAAGTGGATAAAGAAAACCACTTTTGAGACCTTCTTGGATTAATTGTAAAGATCCATCCAAAATCAGCTTCCTAATCTGCAAGAGAATTTTTTTTAAGTGCATTAAAAGAATACTGACATTAAAACAATTTTCTAAATAAAATTCCTACCGTGCTTTGAATGCCTGAATTTACAGATTAAAATCAACATTCACAATGTTTTTAGTAAAATAATTTTATACTATAGTGAAAGGATAAGAATGTGCAAGTATACCTTTGAACTGCTGTTTCCTAATTGTAGAGTGAAACAAACCTCACAAATTCACTGACAATTAATGTAGGAAAATATATCCTCAAACAATATATAGGAAAATATATCCTCAAAAACTTAATAAGATGAATTTGCTAATCTGCACATTTCCAGAAGAAAATGGAATTTCTAATGTACAAAGAGAATTAAGCTTAAATCACAACATTTAATTTTAGATTTTTCTAAAATTAATTTTAAAGTAAACATACTAATTTTAAAACAACCTAATTTTAAAATAAACATACTTTTGATTTTATAAAATATAGCTTGGCTGGGAATAGGAGCTCACACCCATAATCTCATGCACTTAGGGAAGCCAAGGTGAGAGGAGCCCAGGAGTTCAAGACCAGCCTGGGCAACATGCCGAGACTTCATGTCTACAATAAAAAATTTTTTAATTAAAAAATTAGCCAAGCATGGTAGCATGTGCCTGTAGTCCCAGATACCTGGAAGGCTAAGGTGAAAAGATCACTTGAGCCCAGGAGGTTGAGGCTGTAGTAGCTGTGATATACCACTGCACTCCAGTCTGGGAGAAAGAGTCTCAAAAAAATTTAAAAATTGGAAAACATTTTTTAAATTTTTTAATGAGTATATTTAGAGAGAGCTTGAATTGTAAAAAAGAAAAAAGTACAAAGCAACTCTGTAAAATAAACATATAAACAACGTCTTATAAAAACACAACCAGGATAATTATAAAAATAAAAGCCAAGTTCCACTTCTGGACAAGAAAGAGTACAGATTTACCCTTTCACCTGAAATTATGGCTTTAAAATGTACAAAATGTGTTTTGTTTTGTTTTTTTAAAAAGACTTTCAGATTTGGATATCACATAGTATAGAACAGTGGTTCCTAAATAGGAGAGAAACAAAGGATTGCTCCAGTTTATGTATTGAGAAAGTTCCCAGGCAGCAGCACAAGGAAGGAGACACATGCAGAGTCCAACAGTCTCTGAGTAGAGGAGATAGAGCTGGGAGTCTAGAAACACCAAGGAAACTAGAGTTTGCAGAGCAAGGTACCAGAGAGAGGAGCACACAGAAAGAGCTCTTGGGAGTTGCAAGCGTCTGCTCAAGTCTCCAGCTGAGTACTGATCAGCATAAATGCACATAATGAAACTACCAAGGTTGAGGAAAGAACTAGATGAAATGACCAAAGAAAACAATACCCGAGCTCACACAGGGCTGGTAATAGTTGCACTCCCACAGTCCAAAACAGAAAAACCTCCTAATTCACAAGGCATCAAATAGACCACTCAGAAGTGTATTGCCTTGATAGCAGGGGGAAAAAATAGCTCTAAACCAAAGTCTGCTCTGATCCTAACTGAATAAGCTTATACACAGTCTCAAAAGGATCAACCAGTTTCAAAGAAACTTTTTTTGAGAACAAAGCTAAGGAATATTTAAAGAAATATGAAAATATCCAGTACCAAAAGTGCTAAAATTGAAATATTTTATAAAAATTTTAAAATTACCAGAAGCAGAACAATAATATATTACAAAGGGGAAAAAAATCACTTGATAGAAAGAATGACACAGCTGATACAACTAGCAGAAATAGTTGGGTAGGTTTAACTTGCAACCCACTTATAAACATTAGGGGAAAAAAGTAGAAATGAGTATTGGGCACTTATTGGACCACATTCGTATATTCAAAAATGGAAAGGAAAAGATGAGTATGGAGCTATTAAACAAAAAGTCAATTCAAGATTCTAGAGGGGAAAACCATAATGCATGAAAAGAAAATACACTGGAATAGATTAACAGCAGACCAGACACTGAAGAAAAGATAAGTGCACTTCACATCACAATAAAAGTATCCAAGGTGAAGGGAACAGATAAAGTATTTGATGAAATAATAGCTGAAATTTTCCAAATTTGCTAAAGACTATAAATTCACAAGTCCAAGAAGCTCAATATAGGAAGGAAGGGGAAAAGTCTGTACTAAGAAATATCATAATTGCTAAAAGTCAGTGATAAAGACATATTCAAAGCAGTCAGACTTTCACTTCCAACAAAGATAGTTAACAACCGCATTCAAGACATTCAGCAATGAAGGACAGTAACCCTGAAAGATGGGAAAGAAATCATAAATAAACCCTCTGAAGGTCATAAGAAGGTGGAATCTGGCCGGGCTCGGTGGCTCAGTCTGTAATCCCAGCACTTTGGGAGGCCGAGGTGAGTGGATTGCCTGAGCCCATGGGTTCGAGACCTGCCTGGGCAGCGAGACCTCACCTCTACAATAAATCAAAAAATCAGCCGGGTGTGGTAGCGCATGCCTGTAATTCCGGCTACTTGGAAGGCTGAGGCAGAAGGATCGCCGGAGCCCAGCAGGTCGAGGCTGCGGTGGCCGGGAGCGGCCACTGCACTCCAGTCTGGGCGACAGAGTGAGACTCCAACTCAAAAAAAAAAAAAAAAAAAAAAGGTGGAATCTGGGGAGAGCCTGGAAGAATCCCTGAGTTGAGAAGATGGAACTGAGAGTACAGCTAATTGTTCACAGGACAAAATACCAGAGAGGAAGAGGCTCCACTGAGAGAGAACTCTAGAGATCTGCAGGCAGGCACCCTGGAGAAATTCACTTGAGTACTGACCAGTATAAGTGTGCAAACAAACTGTCAGAGGCTGGGAAAAAAAGCAGCCCCCCAAAAATCTAAAAACCAGTGCCTGGTGTTCCCTAGAGCCGAGAATAGTGCCTGCTTCCACCACGCAGACTTAGTGTCTCCCTCCAAGGGAAAGGACAAATTTGTATGCTGTCTAGGCTAATAAAGGCAGGTCATCATGAGTCTCTATCTGGGCAGAGGTACTGATAACTTCTGTTCCAGAAAAAAAATTCCAGGGATATATGTACACCATGGAAGATGGAATAGTGTCTCTTTCCAAAGGAGAGGGAAGACTTGTATGCTGTCCAGGTTAGTAAAATCTCCCTCTAGGCAAAAGTTTGGACAAGTTTGCTTGCAAACCACTTAAAAGATTGGGGTTCCTCAAGTTTAGGATCCCTTTGCCAGGAATCAAAGAATTACCACATGAATAGCAAACCCACTGCATACACACCATCCAACTAGACCACTTGGCATCAACCGCGTGGGACCCAAGGTACAAGGGGAGTCTGTGTGCATAAAGCGCATGCTTCTTGCTGGCCAAGAGCAATAAAGTCCTTTGTCCCTGACTTAGGAGTCTCATATCTTCTGTCAGCTTCCATAAAATTGTGGCAGGCTAACTTCCAAATAAGGCAAAATCTCAGACTCTTCTCAGTTCTTAACGGGGTAATGGGTAATCAGATGGATCTTGCATCAGTATAGGAGAATAATTAGCCCTAGACTAAACACTATTCTAAACCAACCTAAAAATATTTACCCGACAATTGATAGATCAATTAATGCAAAAATCTCTAAAGATAGAGAGGTTCTGAACAACACTATCAACCAACTTCTACCTAACTGACATTCACAGAACACTGTATCCAACAACTATAGAATACATTTTTTTTCAATAGCACACAATACAATCACAAAAGTAACTCATATGCTAGGCCAAAAAGAAGGCTCAATAAATTAAAAGGATTGAAATCATTAGTGTGTGTTCCTATACCACAATGGATCTAAATGGAAATCAAGAATAAAATGATGTCAACCTCAAATATCTGGAAATGAAATAGTACATTTCAAATAACTCATAAAGGTCAAAGATGAAATCATTAGGGAAAATAGAAAATATTCTTCATTGAATGAAGTGAAAACACAAAATATCAAAATAAGCAACTAAAGCAGTGATTTAGAAGGAAACTTACAGCTTTATGTGCTTATATTAGAAAATAAAAAATATCTAAATTTACTGACCTAAGGTTCCACTTAAAGAAGTTAGAAAGAAAAGAGCAAAGTAAACCAAGGGAAAAAAAGTACTACAACTTAACAAGAAACCTGTAAGTCCTTTATAAAGAAAATTTTACAGAATGACGCAACAAAAACTTAAATGGAAAGATACATTCATGTTTTGGGGCAGAATCACCTGCATCTTATAGATGTCAACACTGTCCTAAATCATAAATGTTCTATAAGAAAACACAGAAAACTTCTTTTTAAAGTCTTGAAGAAGAAATACCTTTCTAATTATGACTCCAAATTCCAGAAGTCATACAGAAAAAAATTTTAAATTCAACCAAATATAGTATTATTTGTGTGTTAAAAATAAAAATAAAAAATAAAACCATCACCACTAAAATGTAAATGACCAACTGGAGAAAATACATCTGCAATTTGTATCACAAAGAGCAAATTTCCCTAGTATATAAAGAGCTCCAATAAACACATAAGAAAAGGAACACAGACAGCCAACATGAAAAAAATGCTCAACATCACTAATTATCAGAGAAATACAAATTAAAACCACAATAAGGTATCGTTTTATACCAGTCAAAATGGCTATTGTTAAAAAGACAAAAAAATGACAGATTTTGAATGGTATGTGGGAAAAAAGGGATGCTTATATACTGTTGGTGGAAATGTAAATTATTTAAGCCTCTATGGAAAAGAATATAGGTTTTTCTCAAAGAACTAAAAATAGAACTCTCATTCAATCCAGCAATCCCACTACTACCCTTAAAAGAAAAGGAAATTATATCAAAAAGATACCTGTACTCATATGTTTACTGTAGCACTATTCACAATGGTAAAGATATGGAATACATTTAAGTGTCCATTAATGGATGATTAGGAAAAAAAATGGTATATATACACCACAGAATGATATTCAGTCACAAAAAGGAATGAAAATCATGTCTTTGGCAGCAACATGGATAGAACAGAAAGCTATTATCTTAAGTGAAACAACTCATAAGTGGGACTTAAATGATGTGTGCTCATGGACATAGAATGTGGACGCTGGAAACTTAAAAGAGAGTACACTGGGAGGAGGGTAGGTGAGAAGAAATTGCATAATGAGTACAATGTATGTTATTTGAGTGATGGATACACTAAAAGCCTAAACTTCACCATTATGCAATATATTCAGGTAACAAAATTGCACTTGAATCCATTAAATTTATACAAATAAAAAGAAAGGTAAAATGTATTCCAAGGTACCTTTTATACTCTAGTAGAGAAAATATGCAAGAAATTAAGAATACAAATTAAAAGGATTTTAAAATTGGAATGATGGTGATTACTAGCTAGAACTATTTTGGATAAATGGTCAGGAAATAAATTATATTTAAGCAGAGCTTATCAGGATAAAAGAAGCCAACATGAACTAAAACAATCTGTTCAGGTGATACTTTTTCTAGAAATATGAAAGAATTGGATAAAATTTTTAAAAAAGAAGGTTTTAAAAAGTTATATTTGGTCTCAACTAATATGAAACGCATCTAAAATGATATTTTAGAAGTTAGATCATTAATTTCCAGTTTGTGCAAAAACTGGGTAGTGTATGTGTACGTATTATTAACCAAAAGGGAAAAGTATGCTTATTATTTCAATCAAAATGCAGTTGGCTGAGCAACCTCTCGGGTTCCTTCTCACTGTGGGAGCTTTTCTGTCCTCTCAATAAATCCTGCTTTCCCACCAAAAAAAATGTAGTTGACTAAGAGAGTGGAATCAACTTTTGCCTTTTCAGTTATTGGCTTGCACTGGAAGATAATGTGTCTAGGTGACACAGAAAACTGATGTTACCACTTTGTGATCCATTTGACTTGGTGACATATGTTATTCTTTTAAAATTTTATCTAGCCGGGCTCGGTGGCTCAGCCTGTAATCCCGCGCCTTTGGGAGGCTGAGGTGAGCGGATTGCCTGAGCCCGCGGGTTTGAGACCCGCCTGGGCAGCAAGACCTCATCTCTACAATAAATCAAAAAATCAGCCGGGCGTGGTAGCGCATGCCTGTAATTCCAGCTACTTGGAAGGCTGAGGCGGAAGGATCGCCGGAGCCCAGCAGGTCGAGGCTGCGGAGGCCGGGAGTGGCCACTGCACTCCAGTCTGGGCAACAGAGTGAGACTCCAACTCAAAAAATAAAAATAAAAAAATTTTATCTCAACCATTAAATATTTTCACTTTTTATTAACAAGAAAAGGAACAGCCCAATTTTTAAACTATGTAAAGAAAACAGAAATGGTTTCTAAACATGTGTAAAAAAGTCAACTAGACCTATAAAAAGAGAAACTCAAACTAAAGCCATATTGAAATACTATTTTGTACCTATCAGATTGGCAAAATCACGAACATTGATAACATTCTATGATGGTAAGGACGAGTGAAAACAGGTAAAATTATACATTTCTGTTTTGTTAATAAGCTGATAGAACCTCTGTAGTGGTAATTTAGCAATATCTATGAAAATATTCAAACTTTCTGACCCAGTCAGTTGACTTCATGAAGTTTATCCTGTAGATGCACACATGTAGAAAATAGCATATGAATAATACACCTAAATGTCAGCAAAAATAGACTAAGTAAATAAAATTATGAAAGACAATAAGGTATACAACAATTTATAAAGCATGTTTAAAAAAGGAGGCAAAAGCATGCGAAACATGCTACCATTGAAGTATAAAAAGAAGGGAGAATATATGTACATATTGTCTTTTAGGTACACCAAAGGGGATAAACATCCCAAATGTCCGTGAACAAATGACTGAATAAACAAATGTGATATATACGTACAATGAAGTATTATTCAGTCTTTTTTTTTGAGTTGGAGACTCACTCTGTCACCCAGACTGGAGCACAGTGGCCACTGCCAGCCACTGCAGCCTCAACCCACTGGGCTCCGGCAATCCTTCCACCTCAGTCTTCCGAGTAGCCGGAATTATAGGCACGCGCTACCATGCCTGGCTGATGTTTTGATTTATTGTAGAGATGAGGTCTTGCCAATTTGCCCAGACAGGTCTCGAACCCATGGGCTCAGGTAATCTACTCACCTCAGCCACCCAAAGCACGGGATTACAGGCTGAGCCACAGAGCTCGGCTCTTTAGTCTTAGAAAAGAAGGAAATTCTACAATATGGATAACCCTTGAAGTCATTATGCTAAGTGAAATTAATCAGATACAGGCAGGGCATGATGACTCACACCTGCAATCCTAGCACTTTGGGAGGCTGAGGCGAGAAAACTGCTTGAGCCCAAGAGTTCATGACGTGGGCAACGCAGCAGGACCTCAAGGCTACCAAAAATTTTTTTTAAAAACTAGCTGGGATGGTGGTGTGTGCCTGTAGTGCCAGCTACTTGGGAGGCTGAGGTGGAAGGATTGCCTGAACCCAGGAGGCTGAGGCTGCGGGTGCCTCTGCAGTGCCACTGCACTCCAGTCTGAGCGACAAGATGAGGCTCTGACTCAAAAAAAAGAAAGGAAGGAAGAAAGAAGGAAAGAAATTATTCAAATACAAAAGGATACACATTGTATGATTCCACTTCTATGACATATCCAGAAGAGGCAAATTCACAGACAGAAAATAGAACAGAGGTTACCAGGGACTGGGGGAAGGGGAGAATGGGGAATTATTGCTTAATGGTAGAGTTACAGTCTGGGATGAAGAAAAACAATCCTGGAAATGGGCAGTGGTGATGATGGCACAATACTGTGAATATACTTAATACCAGAGAATTCTGCGCTAAAAATTGTTAAATATGGAATTTTATGTTAGCTATATTCTACCACTATAAAAGAGAAAAAAATCCACTGTCCTACCATCACATTAACTCAATGTTTCCAAAACTGAAATTATGATTCTCCAACCCAAATTCCAAATGAATTTTCCCATTTCCATCAAAGGTACTCCAAAGAGAATTAAGCTTGAAATATTTGTGTGCCCTCTTTCTTCTCATTTCATTTATCTCCAAGTACTAGAAATATATTGTTAACATTACTCATGCTTTCTTCTGCTACTCTCCCAATATATTATTTTACCTATGGACAATAGGCGTTTCTAATTTCTATAATCTGTAAATTTAATCAATATAGCATAAGTTTATTTGTGTTTCTTAAAATACTAAAAGTATATGAAGTTTCAATAAAAACTGGTTTAAACTGTTTGTTACTATTAAAGTAACAATAAATCACTACTAAATTTAACCCTTATCAAAATGATTGTTTAAAGAATAACTTTACTTATGTTGCCCATTTATTTTATACTATTTCACATTAATCCTCTAATGTGATCAGTGAAGATTTTACACCTACCTTTGTATGGTACTCCATAGCATCCAATTCACCTTGATTGAAAACAACACATCTTTTACGTTTCTAAAGGGCAAATTAGAGGGGAAAAATTATGTTGCCATCAAAATATGGATATCTTGAAATATATTAATTTTTAAAATCACATTATCCATACTGTATATCTCAGGCTTTAAGAGTATTGTCTATTGAAGTAAATATTAATGCAAAGGGTATAGACTAAAGAGGTAAGCTTTCCCAAGGTAAAAGAACAAAAATAAAATGGGTGACAAAAGGTCACCTCTGGTTTGTCTGCGATTAATAAGAACTAGCTCCGCATAATAAAGTGTAGCACGAGCACCCAAGGTATATAAGGAAACTGATACCGCTGCTTACCAGTGTCACCTACATATAATTATTCTCAATTTTCTTCATTTCTGAGAACTATCCAAGTGCTATCATCAAAAGAAATTCCAGGCCAGGAGTGGTGACTCATGCCTGTAATCACAGCATTTTGGGAGACCAAACAAAACCAGGAGGATTGCTTGAGCCCAGAAGTTCAAGACCAGTCTAGACAACATAGCAAGACCTTGTCTCTACAAAAAAAAAAAAATCAAAAAATTAGCTGGGCATAGTGGCATGTGCCTATAGTCCCAGCTCAGGTGGCTGAAGCGGAAGGATCACCTGAGCCCAGGAGGTCAAGGCTATGATGAGCCATGACTGTGCCACTGTACTCCAGCCTGGGTGACAGAGTAAGACCCTGACTTAACGTTTCCTCAGTATAACATTTATTATATATTTTCATCTATATTTTTCCATATTATGAGAAATTTACCCAACTTAAAAAACTAAACATTAAAAATTAATGTTCATATTCTGTAAACTACAAAGTTTTTTACAGACTTAATTGTCCGAATTACTTATATTACCTATATACTATTTAACTGAGATCTCAGATGACACTATATATTTTATTTTCTGTGCCTGACATACAGTAGATGATCAATAAATATTGGCTGAAAGTAATAAAAAGATATGTATAAGAAAAAAATAACAAGAACATTAAAAATTCCTCTTCAGGTACCTATAACAATATAATAAATTATTATTTTCCTTATTCTAATTTTCAACATGTTTTTTTAATATCTTTCTTCTCCATTCACTTATAAGATCCATGAGGACAGAGACTATCTTATTTCATCACTCTATACAGTAGCATACATAGAGCACAAACATTTGCTGAGTGAGTAATACATGTTATTCCTATCAGTAGCAAAAAAAAAGATTATATAATCTATTTGAAATGGACTTTGGATAGACACCTCTAAACTCCTGAAAAGCACAAAAAGTATTAAAACATGATTAATCTGATCCTATATGGCATTCTTAAAACTTTACTGAAAGATTGTGCCACTATGTATATACAAATATATATTTTACATAAATTTTTCACAATAGTTTTCTACTTTTATCACTAGAAACTTTTTTTTAAAAATCACTCATATTCCAAACATTTTTTTTTCCCTAGGTTTTTTTGTTTTTAGTCGAAGTCTCACTCTGTTGCCCAGGCTGGCATGCAGTGGCACGCTCACCGTCACTGCAGCATCGACCAGCTGGGCTCAGGTGATCCTTCCGCCTCAACCTTCCAAGTAGCCGGAACTACAGGCACACGCTACCACACCCAATTGATTTTTTGATTTATAGTAGAAATGAGGTCTCACCAAGTTGCCCAGGCTGTTCTTGAACCTGTGGGCTCAGGTAATTTGATCACCTCAGTCAAACTTTTATTATATGAGCTTATCTCTACAGGACAGAGCTTTAAAAATCTCTGAAAAACCATTTACTGCTTAGGAATTTTGCAGAGAAAGAAATGTATTTATTTTCTAAGCAAAAACAGGTGTAAAAACATCCAATTAATACAAATGCCCAAGCAAAAGTTTTTTTGCTGTTTGGGTTTATTTTCTTTGCTTATCAAAGACTTTACTTTGAAAACAACTTTGCTTATTTTTTAAATACTACACAATTTTATCTTCTAAGAATGGTAGAGTATTTGGAAAAAGCTAAAACATTACTCTGGATATGCTAAAGCCTTCTTATGTTTTATTAATTCTTTATACTTACTAAATTACAAGACATTTGAGATACTGAAATGAAAAATCTCTATGTTTTCTGCAGAAAAGATTTTTTAAAACTTTCTACCTTCCCAATAACAGAAATGGAGATTTCTTCTTTAACATCATTCCTAAGATCTTTCTTTTCATTACTTTGCTGATATTTGTTGTGAACAGCTGAAGTTATATGAGGCTTGGTGATATCAAACAGTTCAGGTCGAAAAACATATTTTTGTGTGAACACTTCATAATGTCTTCCATCATTGTTCTCTGGCTGAGTAGTAGAGTCAGAAGCAGCAAATGTACTACAGGCTCCAAGAGAGGAGACAGAATCACCGTAGACAGTAGAAGTGGGCTCATTTTTTCTGCAAAAGCACTCATGATGCTGGTGAAGTTGATAGTTTATCTTATTAATAAAAGAAAGATGATCCAGTAACCACCCAGGTGACAAATGGTATACCACAGACATTCTCTTAATTTAAAAAGGCCTCTGGGAGTGTTCTTAAACATCCTATATCTCAATAAATATACTTCATACACACAGATAGATTTACTGTACAAGAATATGAATCCAACATGTACACTGAAGAGAATTTAACATCCATATTATTACGTATAGCAGTTCAGAGGAAAATTACAATGTTTTAATATAAACTTCTTTTCATTTCAGAGCTGATAATCCAAACTGGCAAAGAGTTTAAAACACTATCTTATAGCTGGAATCCCAATTTGATCCTCCTGTCTTCCTGGGCCCTTCACAACTTCTTGCTTTGCTCCTTGAATCTAGCCACTAGGTCCACATTCTTCAAGTAAGGAAGTCACTGATTTCTTAAAAGGTAAGTATCCTGTCAAAGCAAAGAATACTATGTTATCTATGTGAATTCACCCTTATTAATGTGATAAACTTATCTAGAGGGAGTCACAGATTATCAGGAGTCATTAGGTCAGCCCTTGTTTTGTCACTTTTTTTTCTCATTGTCAATATTTAGCACAATGCCCTTGTTTTTTCAAATTACATTTGCCATAGTAAGCCAGCCCATTCTCTATTTTCACTGCCCTTCTTAAACACTGCAACCAACAGAGCTACAAAGTAAAAAGACTGGTCTAGTCAGCAAATGCAATCACACACTGCAAGGTTACTGATCCAAATCTGTAACTGATTCTGAGTAGTACTCCTCGGGTCATTCGGTTTTTCAAAACTTCCTTATTTTTTCTCAAAACGTTGTTTACAGTTCTGGATATTGCTTTCTAAATCAAGTGTAGCGGAAAATTAAGAGGGGACACAATAAGAAATAAATGAGTACTTGACAGCAAAAGTAATAATAAGCACTTAGATTCAAATGTCTAATCCCATGTGTGATACATATAATTTTGATTTTCATCCACAATTCCTGGCTCACAGCTCCTATAACCTTACTCTAGGGAGGTTAAAGGGACAGGCTGAGTTGGCCAATGATTTAATCAATCATGCCTACACAATGGAGCTGTGAGATCTGACACTATCTCAAGACACATAGTGTCAGAATTGAATTAGAGGACACTCAGCTAGTATCTGCTGCTGCAGAATCCAGGGAATTGATTGATTGGTTGTTGAATGGAAGAAATTCCCGCACACTTCTTGGTGAGCAGAAGTCACAGAAGTCTTCTGTGTTGATTGCTGTTGTGAAAGCAAAGGAAAAATAGTTTGTTTTTTCTACAGACCATGCATCAGCATTATGGCCATGGACAAGTTGTGATCTCAGTGAGTCTCAAAGTCACTTTTTAAGACATCTCAGAGAACAGTTTAAAGAATGAGGTAACCCAAATGAAATGCTGTTTACAGTGCCTGACACAAACCCAGTGCTCAAGTAAACACTAATTGATGTTACTGGTGATGGTGACCCAGGTGATCCTTGGTCCCCATCCCTTCATAATCACCACATGAGGTGAGAAGGTCCTGTCATAGCTAGTAAGAGCTAGAAATTTAGACAGGAAAACTGAAACTCGGAGAAGGCAACTTTGTCCCCAAATCACAACCCTTGTCAATGGCACAATTGCGGCAATATCCAAATATCCAGACTTTCTGGAGCTCTGAACACTTCCACCACCAGATATCGGGCAGTTCCTGTCTTTGGGTTCAAATTCACAAAAGCAGAGAAATCCTATTTTAACAAAGTAATACACTGTGCTTAGTGCACCTCCCACCTCCCGCGGATTCTCTGCTTCACATCCACCCCCTGGCCTCCCCCAGCCATTCGGATTCTCCCTTGCTTCTCGCAGGCCAACCACCACTAGAGGACCCGTAAGACCCTGGCAAGCAATCAAATCCCAAGCCCGAATTCTGGCGGCAGCCACACCAGCGCGATCCCTGCAGCCCACTGCACCCACACTCAGCAGCTACAACCTCCTACCTCACCTCTTCCGTTGTCAGCAAAGTGCACGCCGCCTTACCAGACTGTCATTAAAACAGTCATGAAGCACCCATCTACACAGTGATCATGAAAGACGCCGCTTTCAGGGTAAAGGAAGACTTCTTTTCTAAGAGTCAATGGGCGCGGCCATGTTGCTGTACGGAAAAACGTGTCCAGGATGACTTGGAGCGCTCAGACCGCTTTGGTTCTCATGCCGCCCACGGATCTTCAGAACTAACTTTAGAGGTCGAGCCAGACTTCGTAGGGAGCGGTTACGCCGGCCCAGAGATGCTACTGTGCCCCGCGACGTGGCGAGACGCGACGAGCACGCAGCGCTCCGGTGCCGAGGAGGTCGTCTAAGAGTGGCGCACGCGTGCGTGCGTCGTGCGTGATGACGTCAAGGCGGCGGAGATTTTTCAAATTCGAACGGCGCCGGCGGGAGAAGAAAGGAGCTGGTGTTTGGATGACTTGTGTCGTCTGTAGCGGACACTTGCGCGGTTTCCAGAAATTCGGTCCCTGGGTCGTGTCAGGAAACTGGAAGAGAGGTAACTGATGACATGGGGATAGCTTTGTTTCTGCAAAACTGTTCTGGAGGAAGAAAGTGGTGGAGGTCTGGAGGGACAACGTTTTGGTGTTTGTTGTTGTGCGAGGCGCCAGTTTCACGCAGTCCACTAAATTTCTGTTGGCAACGATTTCCTAAGGGAGAAGGGGAGGGCCTGGGGGACACTAATGGAGAGAAGAGGCTGGGGAGAGGAAAAAGGGAAGAATTGAAGGAGGCGGGGAGGAACTGTTTGGTGTATTGCGTCCGGATAGTAGTGTAGCATCTTTGTGGCCGTGTAAAGAATACGTGTGAGCCGGGCTCGGTGGCTCAGCCTGTCATCCCGCGCCTTTGGGAGGCTGAGGTGAGTGGATTGCCTGAGCCCGCGGGTTCGAGACCCGCCTGGGCAGCGAGACCTCATCTCTACAATAAATCAA